ATTTTTTTGTATTTTGCATTTTTTTTCATTTAAACAAAAATAAATATAAAAAAACGTTGTTACAAAAAAAGATATATACAAAGAAATTGGAAAATAACCTAACAACAACTCATATTAAATAGAGTATGAATATCCATGCATCATTTAAAATATGTGGATCATATTCATAATTTAATTTGCACAATTAGCTTGTTTTTCAAGCTAAAATCTCTGAATAATTCTTTTTGTATTTCTATTTTTTTCCCCATATACTTAAAGAATTATGTTGTGATGGTGTTTTAAGGAATAATAAAAATAAAATAAAAAAACCAAAAATCGAGGACCTAATATGCAGCTCTCTTCCCATTGTTATATTTCCTAAACTTTTTAAATATAATTATAGAAGTCTTTGAAGTTTGGTATGTATAATCATATAGATTATGATTCCAATTAGAATAAGGTAATTCTAGGAATAATAATCACAAAATTTAAGGAAGCAATACTAATAAATTTTGGTAATGATTTAGAGGATTTAAAAATTACCTTAATTTATATAAATTATATTTTGAGCTAATCATAGAATGACATGTGTATTTTAAGTGTTATAAAATTCAAAAAAATTGAGAAAATTAGAGTGAGACTTTCAACTTGAAAGTGGCTACAACACTTTTACTTATATTATATAATAATAATATGATTTTATCATCTACCAATACTCTATTAATTTAATTGTTTACACGAATGATTTTTTCGATAAATTTTACAAAATAAATGATTTACATATAGAGATAACATGAATTGTGTTGTGATAGAACTAGCATATCACCCGTGCTATGCACGGGATAAAATAATATATAATTTATTAAAAATATGATAATTATATTTAAATTTTTTATATTTTGTCTCTCGTAAATAAAATTTTATATATAAGTTTAAGTGTTTCGTTTCAAATATTCCTTTATAACATATAGTATAGATAAATTAAAATTGTTGTATTAACAATTAATAATTAAAATTATGCTTTGTTATAAAAAAATAATATAGTTCTAATATTTCACTATTTTAGAATAAAAATATATGAATTTTAAAAAAAATTCATATTGATTTTTGAAAGGGAAATAATCAAATAAATTTTAAAAACTTAATCAGTAAGAAATAATCATCGTAATAATGAAATTGGTTGAATTATTTATTGAAATATGCTATTGACATCAATAATAGCTGTGACTATATGATTTATTGGTAAAATGACCATTTGTTATGAAATAAAAAACTTCAAGAGACATGATATAATTTTTAAAATCACATGAAATAATTCATATTTTAAATAAATCTCGGATGTGTATTTATAATTTATCCATTTATTTAACTACCTAAAAAAATTACTCAACATGTTTTATCTATAACTTTTTTTTTTTTTGTGTACATATAATTAACACATAAGGCATGCCATGGTATTAGAAAGGATTTGGCTTTTTTTTAAAAGTTATTTAATTTGAGAGAGTGTTTGGATTTAGTAGATCAATTTTAGAATCGATTCTGATGATTTGAACAGTTCATTTTTTAAAACTCGTTAATTAAAATATTCATATAAAAAATTAAGATAATTGAATATCAATAGCTATATATTTAAAGCATATCTATTTCAAAAAAAAATAGACGACAAATAATTCTTTAACAAGCTAAAATAGATGACATATTTGTTTCAAGCTAAAATTTCTGAATAATTCTTTTTGTATTTCTATTTTTTTCCCCATATACTTAAAGAATTATGTTGTGATGGTGTTTTAAGGAATAATAAAAATAAAATAAAAAAACCAAAAATCGAGGACCTAATATGCAGCTCTCTTCCCATTGTTATATTTCCTAAACTTTTTAAATATAATTATAGAAGTCTTTGAAGTTTGGTATGTATAATCATATAGATTATGATTCCAATTAGAATAAAGTAATTCTAGGAATAATAATCACAAAATTTAAGGAAGCAATACTAATAAATTTTGGTAATGATTTAGAGGATTTAAAAATTACCTTAATTTATATAAATTATATTTTGAGCTAATCATAGAATGACATATGTATTTTAAGTGTTATAAAATTCAGAAAAATTTAGAAAATTAGAGTGAGACCTTCAACTTCATAGAGGCTACAACATTTTTACTTATATTATATAATAATAATATGATTTTATCATCTACCAATACTCTATTAATTTAATTATTTACACAAATGATTTGTTCGATAAATTTCACAAAATAAATGATTTGCATATAGAGATCACATGAATTGCGTTATGATAGAACTATATCACCCGTGCTATGCACGGGGATAAAATAATAAATAATTTATTAAAAACACGATAATTATATTTAAATTTTTTATAATTTGTCTCTCGTAAATAAAATTTTATATATAAGTTTAAGTGGTTTGTTTCAAATATTTCTTTACTATAACATATAGTATAGATAAATTAAAATTGTTGTATTAACAATTAATAATTAAAATTATGCATTGTTATAAAAAAATAAAAAAATGACATAATTCTAATATTTCACTATTTTAGAATAAAAATATGTGAATTTTAAAAATTTGTCATATTGATTTTTGAAAGGGAAATAATTAAATAAATTTTAAAAACTTAATGAGTCAGAAATAATCATCGTACAAAATAAAATTTCTAAATGTTCTACCATATAATAATAAAATTGGTTGAATACATAACAATTAATATCTAACCATCCTAATTTTTTATATAAATATTTAACCTAATAAGTCATAAAATAAGAACCATTCAAATTATGGAAATTATGATAGACTCCACGGATCACTCCACCCTCCATATTGTACCACTTTATAGTTTCGTTGCCTTTTGGTGACACCACTACCACCTTTTACCTAATTCTCTTTCAAAACACAGTTTTTGCCACCTTTCCACATAGTCTCTCTCTCTCTCTCTCAAACATGATCGAGTCACAGAATTCCACTACCAAGCGTTACTCCGGCATCCTCCGCCGTCTCCTCTACATCGACAGCCTCCCAATCCACCCATCTGATCTCATTACCAACCCCCTCACCACCACCACCACCTTCGAAAACCCAAAAAAGATTTCAAAACCCAAGTCAAGACCCCAGGAGTAGTCGCAATACTCATGGGTCTAGTCAGAACATCACTATCGTTTTGCGAAGTTCCAACCTTTCTCTAACAACAATGCTTCGACAAAGTAGGTGGAAATGTAAGGAACAAAATGGGTTTGAGTTCTAACATGGGTTCGAAAGATTTGAAGTAGAAATAGATGAAAACATAGAGAAACAGAGAGAATTTAAGAGAAAGAAAGTTTGAAAACAAGATGAAGGTTTTTAGAAGAAAGGAAGATCAGTCAAACAGGGCCCGTGGAAATTGTTCTTTGAAGGTTGACAATGTTAATTTGGATCGTAAGAATAAGGTTGTTGTTGCTCAGAGACAACCTCATGAAAGTTTGAGAGCGAAAAAAAGTGGAGTTAAGAATGTGAATCAAAAGGAAACAGGGAGTAAATCGAAGATTAGGAACAAGAAAAAGAGTTGAAACAACATAGCTAAAAAAGTCCAACAACCCGTGTGTGTTTCGGAGAATTCGAGTCTTGTTTCAATTCTTGATCTTCATCATCACAATTTAAGTCCTCATCATAAGTCTACGTCAGGTTTGTTTTTGGAATGACTATGTACTTTTTTCATACTCTGTTTGGTAGTTTATGTATTTTAATTTGTTTCGTTTTTGTTTTTTCATGTTTTCGAAAATAGGAACTATTGCGTTCCAATTTTTACCAGAAAATATTGTCCTGTTATAGCCAAGTCTGACTAACTTCATGCAATTATTCTTTTCATCTTTGATCTATGAAAACACATCATTCAGTTTTTAAAAAATAAGTCTAATTTTAGAGTAGAGCATTTTTTTTCTTTTTCTTTTTTGTGTAAAAATAATTTTTAAAAATTAAAAGTACATATAAAGTTACACAAACACAATTAGATACGAGTAAATTTAGAATTTAGAAAAATAAATCCAGTTCCTTAAATTTTAACTCACCGGTAATTAATATTTTTTCATCAACAATTTGTTATTCATATGGATTGAAAAAAAATTATCTATATTAGTTCAATGTGATAAATAAAATTTGTAAAATTTATTATATTTTTTAAAAAAACCTTAAGTTGGTCAATGTAATTTACTAACAAATTTTTGTACATAAAATTTCACAGTAGTGATACGTCTTGTGAGACATTTTCATTTCAAATTAGAACATTTATTATTGTGCCTTTGAATTTAAAAATATAACTGTCACATTATTCTGAATAAATTTTATATATAAAATCTTCGTATGTAAATCAATTTTTTTTACTAAAAATTTGAAGGTTTCAAAAAATAAAAATTCAAACAATTTGACAAACGAATTTATCTTCAAAAAATGAAAACAAGAATACGAGGTATCATTATTATTCAAGCTTGTAGTCTTATTTTGTATGTTTGTAACATGACACACAAAGGTGTGGGGTTTGATTTAAAAAATTTGCAAATATGATTTTTTTTTTTTTTAATTCCTTCATGCGATTTGGTAACAATGCATATTCCTATTTTTTTTCAGAAAATTAGAATTTATCTTTTTTTAAAAAGATTTATTTTAAATTTTGATCTTATAACGACCTTAATTTTTTGTAGGTTATTACAATTGTCTTTTAAGTCCTTTTAATTTCTTTTCTGGTTTTGTAGCTCCAATTCCCTGGATGCTTGCCTCTCGCGATAGATCTAGGTTTTCTGTCTCTTCATCACTCCTCTTTCTTATGGTGAAAGTTCACTAGATCGAGCATCGTAAGCTCCGATTCACAATCGTAATCTCTATCTGGTTCTCTCCATCTTGGCTCAAAGCTCTCGATCAGTCCGATTTGAAGATTAATTTTGTGAGTCCTTCTCTGATTTTTTGATTTTGTTTATATACAAACTCAGATCTGTATCTACGATCTCAAATCTGTTTGATATATATATATATATGTATACTAATTTATGTCTATTGATCGCGATCGATTTTTAGTCTATTGATCGATTTTTAGGCTTATCTCGATTGATTGATTTTTAATTTATTGATCGCGATCGAACACTCTTCTCTGGATTTGATCGATTGATTGCTTTCGTTCAGATATGTAAGTTTTAGTCCCGATGCGCATATTAATATCCTCAAACCAACTCTATTTCTGACTCGGTCGTGGTGATCTTTGCGTTTGTGCTTTGTATGCAATTCTAGGGTTAGTCTATTGAGGCTAATCTCTATTGCGTTTGTGTACAGAGTCACAGAACCACCATCACAACCATACTGTGTCAATCTTTGCAGCAGCAATGTCTCTCTTCCTCACAATGGGTTTTGTGCACCACAGACACCTGATTTCGACTCTGGTGAGTCTTCTTTGATTCCCTCCTTCCTTACTTTGCTTATGATCTTTCTGGCCCTGTCGTTTGTGCATTTGGGTTTTGCTGCTACTTTCCATAAATTGGTTTCCACTATTTCTTGTGTTCAATTATTCTTTTGCAAACATGGATTAATGCAAACCCTTTTTTCTTTCACCACTTTTCATGTATTGCTTCAAAGTTCTTGTAAGTATTTTACACGCACATAATCTAATTACAGAAGATTGTGTCCAATATTGTGATTGAATTTTGTGCATTTAAAAATTGTCAAGTTATTGCTTCTATACAAGGATTAATGCAGCAAACACTCTCTTTCAAACTAGTTTGGCAAGAATTAATGAATCTATCTCATTGCTCCATTTCTATATATTTGATTACTTGATCAAATGATTATAAATGTGTTCACAATGAAGAATCAGATTTTAAAATGATCTAAATATAACATAAAACGATAAATATTTGTAAGTTAATTTTCTATACATTTGACAAAATCATGATTTTTTAATGTGTATCAATTTTCATATCATAGTGTTGTATGTTCTTGGTGTAGCTTATTGATGAAATAAATACATTGCACTATGTATTTGACTCATCAACTATTAACTCTCAGCCTTTGTTTTGAAACACCCTCCTGTTGCCAGTGCTGTTTTTGGAGCAACAAAGTTGTGGCAGCTGCAAAAAGTCCTGGATGCATGCAAGATGGAGCTTAATCCTGAAATCATTGCAGATATTGACAAGGTTCATACAACATACCCAAATCCTTGCCCCTAATCCACCTTGATATATTTTTTTACTTTCTCATTGCTTTTGTCAGCTCATACCTAACATTGAATTCCTGGTGTTATTATAATTTCAATTGTTGTTCTTGATTTTTAGAAAATTCTGAATATAGCCATTTACGTTTTGATTAATTGTAAGCTAAGCAGATGCACTAAGCACGGCTCCCCTGCCTTCAATTTTTGATCCAGTTAACATCACTGTTATGATAATCACATATTCAATAGCATATCCGTAATATTGTGTGATATACCATGAAATGAACTTTTTTATCTTTTCTTTTATGTGTACTGATATTTTTATCTATTGTAAGCTACTAATTTTATCTATTAAAAAATGAAAAATAATGTCCAGCTTAGTTACAGCTTGGAATATGGAGAATTGTAAGCCAGGGAGTCCCATACAAATACTAACTTTTCTGTTTGTCTTGGGTAGCATTTGTCGCTAGTTCATGGAGGCTAATGTTGACTGAGCATTGTCTGGAGTTTGCTTGATGGTCTAACCAGCAGCATATATGGAGTCAAATGTTGATTGAGGCTCTCTCTGTGATTCTTGGAAGTTTCTGTTGAATAGCATGTAAAAGGTGAGATAAAATAAAAGTGAATGAAATATAAGTTAATATAAATGATAAATAAGTGTGAACATTACACAAAAATGTTTGTTGGTCCATCACATTAATCAACATTGACTTCATCTTTTTGAATGGTTGTGGTTCTGTACAGTACAGGTTCTGTGAGTGTTTGTTTTTTACAAAAGAGGAATACAGATATTAATCTATTACTGATGTGTGTGTTTTCCCAGTTCCATTGATCATTGCACTTGAGTTGAGTCTGTCTTTGTTAAAAGCCAATGTTCACTCCTCTTTTGTACATGTGGTAATTGATCTATGCTGTACTTGACCATATCTTTTTAGACATTTTTCTTTCCTTTGATCTTTGATTGATGCCATGCCACTGACTGCTGCTTCTAAGTTTCCTGAATGCATTCATTTTTATTTTTTTGCCATTCCATCTTATCTTGTAATACCACTATCTTATCATAACATTCTCCTCGTAGCTACACATTATTTGAATAGATTTCAGTGTGTGGACAGTGGGTTACTGGTCTCAATAGATTTCAGCACTATATTGTTGTTTACTGGTCTCAATGTTATTTTGGTATCAACCATTACTCCAGTCTATGGTTTTGTCTGCTTTCTTCCATACTGGGACAGAAGGGTATGTTTCCTATCTTTACGTTGTGGGCCAACAAAATACTTCATGCTTTGTAAGTAATTGCATTGGAAAGAACCAAATCATGCACCCACTGCCACTCAGCATAGGAAGATGGTCTACTGACTACTCTGCCTCTTTGCACAGTGCTGATTTAGGGAACAGTTTTTACCTCTTTGGGTTAAGTTTTCAATCACCAAGATTTATAGGTTGAAGGATATATATATGTATGTGTGGTTTTGATTAATTGTAAGCTAAGCAGATGCACTAAGCACGGCTCCCCTGCCTTCAATTTTTGATCCAGTTAACATCACTGTTATGATAATCACATATTCAATAGCATATCCGTAATATTGTGTGATATACCATGAAATGAACTTTTTTATCTTTTCTTTTATGTGTACTGATATTTTTATCTATTGTAAGCTACTAATTTTATCTATTAAAAAATGAAAAATAATGTCCAGCTTAGTTACAGCTTGGAATATGGAGAATTGTAAGCCAGGGAGTCCCATACAAATACTAACTTTTCTGTTTGTCTTGGGTAGCATTTGTCGCTAGTTCATGGAGGCTAATGTTGACTGAGCATTGTCTGGAGTTTGCTTGATGGTCTAACCAGCAGCATATATGGAGTCAAATGTTGATTGAGGCTCTCTCTGTGATTCTTGGAAGTTTCTGTTGAATAGCATGTAAAAGGTGAGATAAAATAAAAGTGAATGAAATATAAGTTAATATAAATGATAAATAAGTGTGAACATTACACAAAAATGTTTGTTGGTCCATCACATTAATCAACATTGACTTCATCTTTTTGAATGGTTGTGGTTCTGTACAGTACAGGTTCTGTGAGTGTTTGTTTTTTACAAAAGAGGAATACAGATATTAATCTATTACTGATGTGTGTTTTCCCAGTTCCATTGATCATTGCACTTGAGTTGAGTCTGTCTTTGTTAAAAGCCCATGTTCACTCCTCTTTTGTACATGTGGTAATTGATCTATGCTGTACTTGACCATATCTTTTTAGACATTTTTCTTTCCTTTGATCTTTGATTGATGCCATGCCACTGACTGCTTCTTCTAAGTTTCCTGAATGTATTCATTTTTATTTTTTTGCTATTCCATCTTATCTTGTAATACCACTATCTTATCATAACATTCTCCTCGTAGCTACACATTATTTGAATATATTTCAGTGTGTGGACAGTGGGTTACTGGTCTCAATAGATTTCAGCACTATTGTTGTTTACTGGTCTCAATGTTATTTTGGTATCAACCATTACTCCAGTCTATGGTTTTGTCTGTTTTCTTCCATACTGGGACAGAAGGGTATGTTTCCTATCTTTGCGTTTTGGGCCAACAAAATACTTCATGCTTTGTAAGTAATTGCATTGGAAAGAACCAAATCATGCACCCACTGCCACTCTGCATAGGAAGATGGTCTACTGACTACTCTGCCTCTTTGCACAGTGCTGATTTAGGGAACAGTTTTGACCTCTTTGGGTTAAGTTTTCAATCACCAAGATTTATAGGTTGAAGGATATATATATATATATATGTGTGTGTGTGTGTGTGCTTTTTTCCAATTTATGTCTATAAAATATATTTATTTTATTCTAGTGCAAGAAAAATAGTCATACATTATTCCACCCACCTTGTTCTTTCCTTAATGTTGTTAAAATGCTGTTGTTCCTTGAATGATAGCACTTCCTTTCCGCATTTTTTATAATAAAAAAAGAAATGGATAAAAAGTAATAATCGTAGCACTCTATTTTGAGCTTGTATTTCCACTACAAATAATTAGAACTTCGCTTTTTGGTGGGAACCGTGCTACCAGATTGATGGTTTGTAGGGATTTGTGATTTCTGGAATCTGGATCATTGTAATTTGTTGCTTTTGGTGTTTCATTTCCTTTCTCCAATCTTGTTGTAAGGTGTGCAAAACAAATGAATACTTCTATTCATGCTACTAGGACTCCATGAAGTTACTGGATACCCTATATCATTTCATTGTTTCCTTCGTTCTATTTTTCATTTTTTAAAAAACCCTGCTTTTCTATTTATTAAACTATATCATTTCTATGTGAAGCAAGATTTTTTTGGTCACTATGCGAAGCAACTTATTTGAAGCTAACTCAAGCTTCCTTTTTCATTCCAATTTAATGGGAATCCATATTTACCTGTCCATTGGTTGATATGTCTGTTAGGTAATTTATTTATAATTTTTCATGCTAATTTTTTATACCGGATTCATTCAGAGAGAACGCTGTCATCTAGAACGCGAAGCTACTATGGCAAAGGGATCTGAATCAACCTAAATGGATCTCCCCATGTTAAGAGGTAGGAGATAGCAGGATCTTTGGTTAGTGTTTATAGCTTGTTTTTGTTGATCACAGAATGACCCTAATATATGAAAAGGTAGGAAAAAGAAGCCTTTGTTTGTTCACCACTTGAATTTTGTAGCTCATATTATATCTTTCAGTTGGGGGCAGCATGATATTCTCCAGGAAAATCTGGCACACATAGTTATACATGTCTGGCTGAAATAACTGTTTTCATGCAATGTTGTTATGACTATTTGATGGCTATAGCTTGGTAATCATTTTTAGATAGGTTTAAATTTTGTAATTGGTGCTAATGATTGCACTTTTTTTTGTCTAGCATGAAATACTGTTTTCATGCAACTGCTTGTGATTGCACTTTTTTTTTGTTTTATTCCTCTATGTTGCTTATTACCTCATATTTGGAAGTTTGCTTATCCTCACCCTTGTATTGTTCTTGTTTGCTCTCAATGAATTACTTGCCCAAAAAAATGTTTAGCTTTTCTTGGGTGTGGGATATGTACATTTTTTTTTTCAAGTGATTAAGGAAATTAAGACCAGTGAATTAATGTTGTATTTGTTATTTGAATGGGAGTTGTTGTTTCATATTAGTGTTATTTTTCAGTTTTATTATAGGTTTTTTTAGTTCAAGCACATACAATTAGCACAATTTTTTTTCCAAAAAAAAAGAGGCTATCACGGCGTTTTTAAAAGCATTGCTAAATATCATACAAATGGTTGGATTTTTTAGAAAGAGATACGGTGGCATTTTAAAAACGTCGTTAAATAGCATGTTGCCGTTAGTAGAACTTTTAGCGGCGTTTTTAGAAAATGCCGCCTATATTAATATAACGATGTTTTTAAAGCGTTACAAAGTTATAGCGACAGCTGCATCTTCGATGTTTTGTGCTGAACGTCACAAAAGGATTTGATGGCGTTTTTTAGACCTAAAGCGGCGTTTTTTAAGCGGCATTTTCTGAACTACGTTTAAACCCTCATTTCTAACAGTGAGGAGAAAAGAAAGAAAAAGAAAAAAAGAAAAGAGTTAGGGTTTTGTTTTGGTGACTTCATTAATTTTTCAAATATTTCTTTGATCTTCAAAAAAATATTGTAAGTGCAAAATTCACTTTTCTTGATTTATGTTTAATTTGTTGTTTTTATTTATATATTTTTATTTATTTGTTGTTAATTTGATTTTGTATTTACATGAAGATGATGGATTGATTTTAATTATTTTGGTTAGTTGTGTATGCAAGGTTTAGGTTTTTTTTATGTGTTTATTTTATGATTGTAATCACATTCATGATTATATGGAATTGAAATAAATTGAGAATCATAGATATTGGTTAGATGATGGATTGATTCATTGTTTTTATTTATTTATTTTTATTTATTTGATATTGGTTTGATTTTGTATTTGCATGTAATTATTTGGTTAGATGTGTATTTAAGGTTTAGGGTTTTTGTTAAATTTTGGGGCGTGATAGATCTTTTTGAGTTTTTGGAATCTGGTTGCACGATATTTTAAAATAAATTTAGCATTTTAGATGAGATTCATAATTTTGTTCTTATTGCATGTTTCAATTCATTGTTTTATTTGGTTTTGGTGATTTGAAATCCTGCATACACAGTTTGCTTATATTTCTGTGCATAGTAATATGTATATTTATATCTGTGTGCATAGTAATATGTATATTTATATCTGTGTGCATAGTAATATGTATATATCATCTTGGAATGATCATCCAGGAAAAGGTAGATTCAAAGACAAAAAAGTCTACCAAAATTGGCATTAGATCATAATTCTTACCGTGGTGGTACCACTGAGGAAGATTTGGTACGTTGATTTCATGTTTTGTATCTATATTTGAGCTTTATGATTTAAAGTTACTAATTTTTCACATTGACTTTTGAATAGTCATTGCGAAAGCAAAGCAATGCTACTTTTGTGATGTGTCAAACACTCAATAGTGGTTCTTTTTCATCTGGTTATACTAAATTTATGAATTTAAATTTCATTTTGCATATGCAATTCTCATGTGAGTTATGGAGTAGCTCTTCTATACGAGTTACTGGCACCATAATAAATAAGTTATTAGTAGAAGAGATGTCAAAAGAAACGGAGTCCAAGAGATGGCCACCGAGTGTTATTGCCAGATTGATGGGTCTTGATGGGTTGCCTCAGCGGCCTCTTCATAGACAACTTAAAGGGTTCTCGAAAATTTATCGACAATGGACAGCATCAGTATCATCGCAAAGGGATGCAAAATCATATGAACACCAATCAAATAGGAAAACCATCTGGATGAAATTGAAAAACCATATTGATCGGTGTTCATATGGTTTTTCATCCCTTTACGATGATACTGATGCAGTCCATTGTCGATAAATTTCCGTGAACTCTTTAGGTTGTCTATGAAGAGGTTGCTGAGGAGGCATCCTATCAAGACCCCATCAATCTGGCAATAAGACTCGGTGGCTGTCTCTTGGACTCCGTTTCTTTTAACATCTCTTCTGCTAATAACTTCTTTATGGAGGTGCCAGTAACTCGTCTAGAAGAGTTATTCCATAATTCACATGAGAACTGCATATGCAAAATGAAATTTAAATTCATAAATTTAGTATAACCAGATGAAAAAGAACCATTATTGAGTGTTTGACACATCACAAAAGCAGCATTGATTTGCTTTTGCAATGACTATTCAAAAGTCAATGTGAAAAATTAATAACTTCAAATCATAAAGCTCAAATATAACGTACCAAATCTTCCTTAGTGGTGCCACCGCTGTAAGAACTATGATTTGATGCTAATTTTGGTATACTTCTTTGTCTTTGAGTCTGCCTGTTTCCTGGATGATCATTCCAAGATTACATATACATATTACTATGCATAGAGATGTAAGCAAACTGTGTATGCATGATTTCAAATCATGCAATAGGAAGAACAAAATTATGAATCTCATATAAAATGTTAAATTTATTTTAAAATATTTTGCAACCAGACTCCAAAAAGATCAAAATTTAAAATAAAAAAAGAAGATAAATTTTGATTTTCCAAAGAAAAATAGGGATATGCATTTTTACCAAATTGCATGAAGGAATTTGCAAAATTTTTAATTCAAACCCCACACCTTTGTGCGTCCTGTTACAAACATACAAAATAAGACAAGCTTGGATGATGATGATACCTCGTATTATTGTTTTTATTTTTTTGCAAATAAACTGGTTTGTCAAATTGTTTTTTATTTTTTGAAACATTCAGTTTTTAAGTAAAAAAAATTGATTTACATACAAAGATTTTATATATAAAATTTATTCAGAATAATGTGATAATTATATTTTTAAATTCAAAGGCACAATAATAGATGTTCTAATTTGAAATGAAAATGTCTCACAAGACATGTCACTACTGTGAAATTTTATATACAAAAATTTGTTGGTAAATTACATTGACCAACTTAAGGTTTTTTTAAAAAATATAATAAATTTTACAAATTTTATTTATAACATTGAGCTAATATAGATAATTTTTTTTTGAATCCATATGAATAACAAATTGTTGATGGAAAAATATTAATTATCGGTGAGTTAAAATTTTAAGGAACTTGATTTATTTTTCTAAGTCCTAAATTTACTCTTATCTAAATGTGTTTGTGTAACTTTATAAATACTTTTAAGTTTTAAAAATTATTTTTACACAAAAAAGAAAAAGAAAAAAAAAAAAACTCTACTCTAAAATTAGACTTATTTTTTAAAAATTGAATGATGTGTTTTCATAGATCAGAGATGAAAAGAACATTTGCATGAAGTTAGTTGGACTTGGCTGTTACAAGACAATATTTTCTGGTAAAAATTGGAACGCAATAGTTTCTGTTTTCGAAAACATGAAAAACAAAAATGAAGCAAATTAAAACACAAAAACTACCAAACAGAGAATAAAAAAAGTACATGGTCATTCCAAAAACAAACCTGACGTAGACTCATGATGAGGACTCTGTGATGGTGAAGACCAAGAATCGAAATAGGACTTGAATTCTCCGTAACACACACGGGTTGTTGGACTTTCTTAGCTATGTTGTTTCGACTTTTTTTTTTGTTCCCAATTTTCAATTCACTCCCTGTTTCCTTCTGATTCACATTCTTAACTCCATTTTTTTTCGCTCTCAAACTTTCATGAGATTGTCTCTAAACAACAACCGTATTCTTTCGATCCAAATTAACATTGTCAACCTTCGAAGTACAATTTCCACAAACCCTATGTAGCTGATATTCGTTTCTCCTAAAAACCTTCCTCTTGTTTTCAAACTTTCTTTCTCTTAAATTCTCTCTGTTTTCATCTTTTTCTGCTTCAAATCTTTCAAACCCATGTCAGAACTCAAACCCATTTTGTTCCCTCAATTTCCACCTACTTTGTCGAAGCATTGTTGATGGAGAAAGGTTGGAACTTCGTGAAACGAAAGTGATGTTCTAACTAGACCCATGAGTCTTGCGACTACTCCTGGGGTCTTGACTTGAGTTTTGAAATCTTTTTTTAGGTTTTCGAGGGTGGTGGTGGTTGGGATGGTGGTGGTGGGGTCGATGATAGATCAGATGGGTGGGTTGGGAGGCTGTCGGTGTAGAAGAGATGGCGGAGAATGCCGAAGTAACACTTGGAAGTGGAATTCTGTGACTTGGTCATGTTTGAGAGAGAGAGAGTGTGTGTGCGGGGAAAGGCGGCAAAAACTGTGTGTTTTGAAAGAGAATTAGGTAAAAGGTGGTAGTGGTGTCACCAAAAGGCAATGAAACTATGAAGTGGTACAATATGGAGGGAGGAGTGATCCACGGAGTCTATCCTAATTTCCATAATTTGAATGGTTTTTATTTTGAGACTTATTAGGTAAAATATTTATATAAAAAATTAAGATGGTTAGATATTAATTGTTATTTATTCAACCAATTTCATTATTATATGGTAGAACATTTAGAAATTTTATTTTTTACGATGATTATTTCTAACTCATTAAGTTTTTAAAATTTATTAGATTATTTCTCTTTCAAAAATCAACAAATTTTTAAAATTCAGATATTTTTATTCTAAAATAGTGAAATATTAGAATTATGTCATTTTTTTTTTACTTATAACAAAGCATAATTTTAATTATTAATTATTAATACAACAATTTTAATTTGTCTATATTATATGTTATAGTAAAGAAATATTTGAAACAAAACATTTGAACTTATATATAAAATTTTATTTACGAGAGACAAAATATAAAAAATTTAAATATAATTATCGTATTTTTAATAAATTATATATTATTTTATCCAGTGCATAGCACGGGTGATATGTTAGTTCTATCACAACGCAATTCATGTTATCTCTATATGTAAATCATTTATTTTTTAAAATTTATCGAACAAATCATTCGTGTAAACAATTAAATTAATAGAGTATTGGTAGATGATAAAATCATATTATTATTATTTAATATAAGTAAAAGTGTTGTAGCCTCTTTGAAGTTGAAAGTCTCGCTTTAATTTTCTCAATTTTTCTAAATTTTATAACACTTAAAATACACATGTCATTGTAGACACCCCATTTTTGACAGCCCTTACGACTTGGACGCCATCGTATACACACCTAATGATGAATGTTTTTGCTCGCCAAGCGCTCGAAGTCTTCAGCGGAACGCCACAACTTTGAGCCTTTCAAACCCTACACCCTTGTTGTCTCATTTTTGGACCAAGCCTTAGTCATTCAAGCCTGCAGCTTTCGGTGGCATGCCGGCCACCTTCTGAGGTTGTCGACCATCACTTTTGGGCTACCAACCACTGATATGGCTTGCCAGCCACCAGTAATGGCTGGTCGGCCACCACTAACAGCCGACCAGCTACCAGTTGTTTTTGCAGATATTTTATGCCAGCTGTTTGCACAGATGCATGCATCTATCTCCACATGTAGGGCTGGATCTCCTTGGGGGAATTTCATATTTTCTATATATAAGAGGCCCCTCTTTCATGTTTTAAGGTTAGAAAATTTTGAGATCAAAAATTTTCCTCTCTCTCTACTAATTCTTTACACTTTAACCTTCAAGTCTTCAACCTTTGCCTATACACCCTTAACCAAATCTCACCATCTTTGAGCTGAGGTGTTCTTGAGGCTTATTTGAGCTCTAGAGGGTGTTGTTTGCTTGGTTTTGTTGCTTGAAGGTATAAGGCTTTATCTATTAGCTTGCTTTATCTACTTTTATTCTTGCTGTTTTTCCATTGTTTTGGCCTGTCAAAACTTTGTGTTTTTTGGGCTGAAGCTTGGGTTTAAGGCCATTAAAGGTTGAGGGGTTGAGAGCCCTTCTTTGTGCCTTGTTTTGGAGGCCTTAGCTCTTGTGTTTCCCACCATTTTACTATCTTTTTCCAAACTTTTAAATACTGATTTTCAGAGATTTTTCAATGGCCAAAATCATGTTTTGAAGTTCAAATTTGGAGGGGTTAGCCTCCCCTCGTTGTGTCTTGCTTACTAGCCTAGTGAGTGCCATGTTTTAGCATATTAATCTAGCTTGTTTTAGCTCAATTTCAGCATGTTTTAAGATTGTTTTTAGACTATCTTAGCACTATTTTGGGTTGTTGGTTGCATTTGAGCTTTGCTTTGTATGCCTATAGTGTAATAGTATAGCCATCCTGGTTTTCCCTTTATTGTTTATTGTATTCCGGACTCGGTTCCGTGGATGATTGTTGTTGTCTGTATCTCGTTTTCGTCCTTCAATTCTTTGTATTTGAGTTTTGGGATGTGTTGGGCAGGTTTGAAACATGTTGGTTGTGTTTTGAAACAGATAGTTAATGCCCAGATTTTGGCTTCCACGTTCAAGCGGGCCCTTTTGCATTTGCTCTTACGCTCAAGCGGGCAGTCTAACGCTCGAGCGGGATTCTTCAGCCTTCAGTATTTTTCCTGCAGGTCATCGGACGGTCGAGCGTCCACTTTAACGCTCGAGCGGGGCCCTTCGTCTGCAGAACTTCTGGAAGTGTGCATTCCACGCTCGAGCGACGCTTTTCACGCTCGAACGGGAGTCTGTGTCTGACGCTCGAGCGGGGCGTCCCACACTGGAGCGGACTGTGATGTATTTTAGTTCGAGAAGAAGCTTTTTGAATCACTTTTTCGGGCCACTCTCTCTCTCTAGCATTTTAAAACCCTCATTTGAGAGCTTCTCTCTCTAGAATACTCTCTCTCTACATTTTGAGCTAGATCTAGTGATCTCCTCACCCTTTTCCTTTTGATAAAAAGCTTGAGCTTCGTGTGGGCTCCATTTTGATCCGAAAAGTTATGGGTTTGGAGTACTTTCGAGTTTCATCATCTCCTTTGGGTCTCTTCACTTGAGGTAAGGGTAACCTACTCATTTCTATGAGTTTTGACATGAATGTTAGTCATTTTGTATAAATGGTGGTATTTGGGGTTTTTGGGAGAAACTAGGGTTTGAAATTAAAATTATAGAAGAGGGGTTTTCTATTTTTGGGGTTCCAAGTGTATGAGTGGTCCATAAAATGAAGTTATTGTATATGATTGATGAAATTTGGCCTTGGGTGCAACATTTGACAAAAGGGGAAAAAAAAACCCTAATTTATTATGATTGATTAATTTGTATAATTAATTTGGAAAATATGAAAATATGAAATTGAGTTGAAAATCATGAAATTGAAAAATTATAAGGTTGATTGCTGTAGTTGGATTGATTAATCACTCACCTATGAGAATGTTGATAATTTATCTGTTTAAGGAATTTATTATCTGTTTAGAAATAATTATTTTGGGCTATCGGTGGAGGATAGTCGTGATTGTTGTAGACACTACATGATGATTAGGTGAATTAAAACTAATCGATTGAGTATGTCATTGAATATGACGAGTGGATTATAACATTGAATATGTTAGCAAATTGGTCATTTTATATAACGACCTGTTTAAATATATTGCATATGTATCTTATCTGGGAGGAGATAGGGGATGTACTCCACAGTTTGGGAGGAGATAGGGGATGTACTTCTAAACCTGTTTGGGAGGAGATAGGGGATGGACTCCATTGATAACTAAGTTGGCCGGAGTGTCCAGGGTGAAAATCCCGAAATCTTGATTACGTTTGCATAACGTAGATGAATTGAAGTATTGAAGTATTAATGATATGAGTTGTAGTCTCATTTTGAATTGAAGTATTGATGTATTAATGATATGAGTTGTAGTCTCATTTTAATTGATTACGATCAAAGTATTGTTAATATGAGTTGTAGTCTCATTATAAACTATTTAGATGAACAGAGAACCATAACCATGAATTGGTTTGGATAATGAAACGGAAAGGGATTGAAATATACTTGTGAATATGGGTTGGTTATGAAAGAAATATATGTTTGTTTATATGAGTTAAACATTTATCAAATGCTAATGTTTTAGTTATTGCTCATATTTGATTTAGTGTATCTCTATTGGGCTTTGGCTCACCCTATATGGGACATCATTTTCAGGTACAGATGAGATGCCGCCTCCAAGAGTGTAGCTTAGGAGGTTTAGAAGCTGAAGGCTTATTTTGTAGTTATCCTTGTATTACATGTAAATCAAGCCAAGGGCTTAATATGTTTAGAGTTAGAACTCTCTTTTGTTGAATCCAAGTGTTGACTTGGAAAGTTGTAAGCCCGTAGGGCATTTACTTTTGCTGTCAACATGTAATACTTTTGTACTAAATACTATGATAAATAGAAATATGTTTTATTCTCTTATGCCTATGGATGCCATAAATGTTGGGTTTATATCTATTATTTTGAGGGCGTTACGAATACTCCTCATGAGTTTGGTATTCTAGGCCTTAGACACTATCTCGTTTGAGTTGATAGCATTTATTTACGCTTTTCTCACTCATTTTCAGCACTTAATCATCTCTACAATCTCCCTTCTTTCTTCACTTTTATTTTGCTTTGAAAGTGATTCAAACAATTTGTTTGTTTAAAGCATGAAATTGAGGTGTCATGCTTAATGGTGTAATCCCTTAGGGGGTTCATTACCAACGGTATGATGTCTCTTTCATTCCCAAAACAACCTTTGGTTTGAGCTCTCTTTCTTTTAAAGGACTTAATTTCACCTTTTGGACTTAATTGATTAAAGGATGGTTGGTAACTTAAAAATGGAGTAATTAAAACTTGGAATTAAAAGTGAGCAAGATAATCAATTGGTTGTGTTCAATCGGACGTTAATTGAACACATGGAAACTTGAACCATTTCATACTTACTAGTGATAAAATGATTCAAGGTTCCAAGGTCATCACTTCCCTTGATCATTCATAAAAGGGAGGAAGTTAGAGTTTTTTTGTTGTATTTATTGAGATTGCACACATTGAGTCACAAGCCATTATGCAATGAAATTGTTTGACTTGGTGGTTTGTGGCTTAAATTCACCAATCCTTTAATTTGCTCATGAAAAAAAGGGGTGAGTTGTGCAAACAAACCCTTGAAATCCCCTGTATATATTCTATTTGTCCTCTGTTGCAGCAAGGAGAACTAGGCAGCAGTGGTTGGTAGGCCACTATTCATGGCTAGCAGGTGGCCGACAGACCACCTTTGATGGCCTGCCGGCAGCCTTCACCAGTGGCCAGCTGGCCACTGATGCAAATTTCAACAGAGTGTTCCTTTGGCCAAACAGAGCTGTTCTAGAAGTGGGCAGCAGTGTGGATGTTCTATTGTGCAACAGAGGCATTCAAAAGCAAAACGGTGGTATTTCGGGTGGAAATCGAGCATGAGCATGATCATCCCTTGCATTCTGAGCTTGTTTAAATATTTAAATTAATTAGTTGTAGCTAATTTTTATAAGTGTTGTAACTAATTAGTTAGTTAATTGGTTATTCAATTTCATTTTGTAGTTAGTTAGTTAACTAGTTAGTTAGTTGATTAATTTGTTGTAATAATTAGTTAGCTTAGAGTAGTTAATTAGTTTATTTCATTTGGTTTGTAATAATTAATTAGCTTAGCTTAGTTAGTTAATTAGTTTATTTGGTCTCTCTTTCGTGAGAGTGCAAAGATGTAATAAAGTGTATGTCTTCCAACTCCATGTCTTTCTCCTTTTTATTTATCTGCTTACGATGGTTATATTAGGGACATCATGTTTTGTTTAGCATACTCATGTTTGCATCCATTTGTATTGCATGCACCGAGGCTTGGTTCATCATTCTAACTGTATTGTTGTTTAAATACTTCTTTGAATACATGCTTAGACCGCATGTTATCAATTTGATTCATATGTCATGTTTAATAGCCGAGCCTATTAGTTGCATTTTTCCTCATGTGTTGCATTTGTCATATTGCATAGTTAGGGATCATGCATTTTCTAACTTTATTTCCACTTTGACTTGGAGTACTAGGTGAGGTTTTTTACTCGCTTTAGCGTAAACACACGAGTGTTGAATGTTGCCATGTTTAGCATGGTTGCCATGAGGCTAAGTGCTTAAGTGATAAACTGCTTGTATGCCTGTGGATGAAGGTTTGTTGCTTGAATTGGAATAATTTGAGCCATGCACATTTTAAGCCCACCTTTTCAAGTGGTAAATTCACAAAATTCTTTTCAAAACAAACATGACTCGAGATGTTCCAATTCTTGCAATTTAGTCTATACTTGTGTGTGTGCATCACATAGTAAATGCTAGCATAATAAACCGAAACAAGAGCATATAATGTTGATAAAAATCATATCATGATTAGTAGAGGCCGATATTTGATCGGACGAGCGGGGGGTGCTCAATTCATGACCTTCCTCTCTCGTGACTAAGTTCCCGAGCCGAGACAATCTTGGTGATAACGGACACGTGGCCTTTGGCACGAGTCATGGGTTTCCTAAATTTCTCAAAAATAAAATATTTAAGTGGTGACTCTGTATCTAGCAAAGTAGTCTAATTTTGGCATTTTTGATTCAAAATCAATTTTCCAAACGATTTGCCGGATTTGGACTCTTTGGTGATTATCAATTTCACATTGCACTTGTGAAATTAGATTTAGAACTGCGAAAGTTCGAACTGTAGGACTTCTTTCAAACTTCTGAAAAGGGGCCCAAAAAAGCCAAGCTACAGTTATTTTATGATTAGCTCAAAATATAATTTATATAAATTAAGGTAATTTTTAAATCCTTTAAATCATTACCAAAATTTATTAGTACTGCTTCCTTAAATTTTGCAATTATTATTCCTAGAATTACCTTATTCTAATTGGAATCATAATCGATATGATTATACATACCAAACTTCAAAGACTTCTATAATTATATTTAAAAAGTTTAGGAAATATAACAATGGGAAGAGAGTTGCATATTAGGTCCTCAATTTTTGTTTTTTGTTTTTCTTCTTTAAAACACAATCACAACATAATTCTTTAAGTATATGAGGGAAAAAAAAAGAAATACAAAAAGAATTATTCAGAGATTTTAGCTTGAAAAACAAGCAAATTGTGCAAATTAAAATATAAATGCGATCCACATATTTTAAATGATTCATGGACATTCATATTTTCTATTTAATATGAGTTGTTGTTGGGTTATTTTAGCCAATTGCTTTGTATATATCTTTTTTTTAATTTTAATAAAGTTTTTTTATATTTATTTTTGTACAAATGAAAAAAGTGCAAAATACAAAAAAATTTATTTTTATAGCCGGCTAAATCTAGCTCTAGTACAACAAGAGCACCAAGCTCCCTCATAAAGATGAAACAAAAGTGATGATAATCTTGGGTTTGACATCCTTATAATAATGACGCAAGGGAATCCTAAGGAATTTTTACTACAATGTAAGAGGAATCGAAAAGAGGTTTTACTATTAATATAAGAGAATTTACTTATAATTTTTACCGATCATGTGGCTATTTGAAAATCAAAGTATGTATGTGTATATTTTTTTCTTAGTTTAAGTATTTTTTTAAGGGAAAACCAATCAATGGAGTACATTTTTTTAGATTGGAAAAAAAAAAATACAATGGAAGAGACATGAAATTTTGGTAACTTTATGTCTATATAAATTTGGAAATAGTAGAAGTAATCGATTAAGAGTCACAAAATTTAAAATTAAGAGTCAAAATTGATTAAATTAAAAGTGTAGAGAGCAAAATGATATAAGAGACAATATGTAGGGACTACTAATATAATTTGTTTATGTTTTATTAATTTCTTACTCATAATTTAAATTATTTTAAATTTTTTTCCCCCTGTTATTTAGTGGCCTTTTATATTCGGCAACTATTGCAAAAAACTTTGAACGTATGAAATGAATGTAATGATATTCTATCATCAAACAATTTTTATTATTACTTTTGGTTTAAATGGATGAAAATTAGTGTATATTTAATTGCATTATTATTTGGATTGATTTGCATTTAATTTTGAAATAATTTAATTTGTTTAAGTGATTTACAATTTATCATTACATTGTTAATGTTTCACATAATTTTTAATCTTTTGTGTTTATTATGCATTATACATTGATTTTTATTGTATTTTATTAAAATAAAATGAATATGTCAAAAATATATATACATTAGCTGTGCAGATCACGGGTTTAACACTAGTTAATAAATAAAGTAAAGGGTAAATTACATTCATACCCCCTAAGATTTACTTAAATTACAAATTACATTATGGCCCCTAAGGTTTCTAATTTCATAACAAATAGGTCCTTTTATTAATAAATCATCAAGTTAATTAACCGTTTTTAATAATGTTAAAATTTTATTTCAATTAATAATTCAGATAATTTTATTATTGTATAGGTTAACAGTTAGAAATTTCACTTTTTCAATTAATTTTGTTAAATAAAAAATTCTGACAGGGAGGTATTTGTAATTTTCCAAACCATAGGGGGTAATTCGTATTTTAAGCAAACCTCAAGAGGTGTATTTGTAATTTACCCTAAAGTAAACAACAAAAATTATTTTGAAAGTGTATAGCCTGCATGGTGAAATTTGTCCATTGTGAGCTTATTTCGATAATTCGAATCATTCATTTTGTAAGACCTTTCGAGTAGATCATCTTAACCAAAAATCAAGTTAATCAAATATCAATAGCCACATTATAGCGATCCTAGTTATCCCTTTACTGTTCTGTTATTTTCCGGATGCGGTTCTGTGGAGTTAGTAGTTGTACCTATCGTGTTGTCAACCTTTAAACTCTTTTGTTTGAGTTTTAGAATGGGTTGGGCTCGGTTGTTTCAGGTTGGTAGAGCTTTAGCTCCCATTGTTGTTGCCTAGTTTTTGAATGGTCCGCTCGAGCGGGTCTTCTTGCGCTCGAGCGGGATTTTCGCAGTTCCAGTATTTCGTGCCTCTGCAAAACTTCTGCAGATGTGTTTTCTACGCTCGAGCTAGTTTCTTGTGCTCGAGCGGGGTCGCGCTTGAGCGGGCTTGGTAGCGCTCGAGCGGGTAGTACCTTTTTGGTGTAAGTTCTGGGAGGGGGAAATCTACGCTCGAGCGGACTGGTTTTCACGCTCAAGCGGATGTACTTTATTCTTGTGTCTTGGCGCTCGAGCGGGCCTTTTTGCGCTCGAACGGACCTAGTTTTTGTTCTTGACGCTCGAGCGTTGTGTTCTCCGCTCGAGCGGGAGAGTCGTATATCAGTTGACAGTTAGGCTATTTTAAATCACTTTTTACATCCACACTCTCTCTCTTACTTTTCTAAAACCCATTTTTGAGAG